ACGAATCTTAATTGTATCGATGTTCAAAATGGTGTCCACGAGCTGCAATGCATTCGCGTAGACGGTGAACAAAAGATTGTTTTGCATTCTTTATGGCCTGTCCTCTACACTGATTGCGACTGAAGACGACAGAATGGATGCGTATAACGGCGTAGCTGTGATTCTCCTTGTGATAAGGAGTATTTAGTTTTTTAATTTTCTTTCGAACCAGATGAAAAAAATGTCATGTCCTTACATGTGCCGGATTCGTCTTGAAATCCTCTAACAGACAGGCGTAAAAAAATTATATGTTCAGTTGCAAAAAATTCAAGGTAACCTTGAAAAAACCTTAAAAAAAAGAGTTGACCAGTAATTTTTCACTATCACGTTAAAGCTCTCTTGAAACCATGCAAAAGCTGATAAAAACATTTTCGATCGGACTTCTAATAACAAAATAATCTCTACTGATCACGCTCCGTGGACCACCCTGTATAATATATTCTATATACAGCACGGTACTGAATTAGGCATAGTTGAATGAGGCAATAATGATGCCATAATGCTGAGGGAATTATATTATAGTATTTATAAAGTTGCCTTTCAATTCTAGTAATTACACTAATCGTTTTACTGCACTCTTCAGAAATATGAGGTGTTAATAAATATTTGATGGTGAATTATAAAAGAATTGCAAGTAGCGGTGATCTCTTATCTTCCTCTCAATTCTCACCATTTTTTATCCAAGTCAGTTCTATAGCCGTATCTTTTTGTTCTCTCCGAGTATGTTTAATGGTGTTTCATAAGGAATAATGATAATAACTATTCTATTTCTGGAGTTCTGTATATGATATAATAGACGTGCGTTCAGTTACGGTGTATAGATAATGGTCGAAGGGGTCGAAGCTAATTTTATGGCAAAAGAAAAAATTGCAGCGTAATAGCGAGCTCGGTTTAATAGACTTAGCAAAGAGATTAAATTGATCAAAGTGCCATACGAGTTCAAAGTGAAAACTTCATTGATAATGCAAATCTATGATACTCGCGGTTGGATCCAGTGGGGCTGAAGGTAGTAAAGAAATTAAAGATTAAATAGAATAGGAAGCCGCTATTACATTTCGATCCGGTACTCATAACGTTTCCTACTCTTAGCTGCAGTCGTCGCACCGTGAGCAGTAAGGAAAATGGTTAATTTGGTGAAAGGTTACATGTCGACTAAGATATCGCAATTGCTAATGACACTTATTGGTATGAAACGCGGTAAAACTAAACGTGAACAGTTGTTAATGGACGCGTTATTTGTTTATATACTTGCGACGGTTTTATCGGCAATATGGCTAGAAAATTCGGAATTATTTTATTCACGGAACGATCTGTATGTAAGCATTCATTCGCCGTATTTTTTCACTTTTTGAAATCGCGTTTGATTCATGTGAAGACGTGGTCTTATCATATATTGCAGAAATCTCTATGCTTATCAGATTTTTGATGCAATTATAGGCCCTCACTTATAGTGCACCATGTTGCTTCACCGTGACATTCGATTTTGTAAAATTAATGATATTCACATACAAGCGGCATGAACTGCATGAACTGCATAAATTTACTGAAGATACATATTGGAATAAGGATTACAATGAACTGGATAAAGCAATACTAGACAAGTGCGATACTACAAGTGCCATTGGAATGAGTATATTAGCTCTAACATCAGCAATCCTTGCATTTCATTATTTGACAGGACCATACTTGGGTAAGTCTTAAGCTATTTATCTTAACGGATAATTCAAGGATAAAACAACAAAGACCCAAAATAATTATAATACGTAATTACCATTCAGCACCTGACAAGAACGAATATTAATTAAAAAATAAATTCATATCTTATCTCCAGTAGAAATTATTTGTATTCTGTGTAAGAATTAAACTATATTTATACAATTTAGATAACTTAGGAACAAATACCACTGAGAGAACGTTACCATTTCGAGTAGTATTCGACTTCCCAATTACAGTGACCCCATTATATCAGATATTGTACTTTATTGAGGTAAGTCTCGTGGGAAGTATAATAATAATAAAAGTTATAATTAAAACAAAAAAATAGTATTCAAAGTACGAGTCTCGTAACAGTGAAATAATTTTACTTCTACTTTACTTATACAAATTTGACTTTCTGTGGTACTCCACTTGATACTCATTCGTGTACTCTATACAAAAAATATAGAGGAAACACTAAAACACCCAAGTTATTATTTATATGTTTAATCACTAATAATAAGTTTAAATTATTGACATGCTGCTGACATAAATAATATCCATTAGGTGATTGGAACAATTAGTATAGGTATTTGCAGCGTAGCGTTCGCCTCGTATCTATTCTACACGTGCATCTTTGTTTCCGGCTTCTTTAAAATCTTGCAGCGAGAGTTGGAGAACGTGTGCGAGGTAGAACTAGAAAGTGTAAACACAAAATCATCATATAACAATAATGATACTATGCTTGCATACAAAAAACTCAAAAAGTGCGTCATCCAACATCAACTACTAATTTGGTATTTGGGTAAACTGGAAGGACTATTCTCCTACATATTGTTGATGCTCGTATTATGTGCCGTCATAATACTCTGCTTTGCTGGGTTTCAAATAATTTTGGTAAGTGTCATCACACATTATCGTCGGAGGAATAGGTGTTGTCCTAGGACTAATTAGCATTCCA